GACACGGAATTTCAATGTGTCATTACTATAGGAATGATAATCAACACGTTAGTAGCTATTGAACCTGTCGACAAGAAAAAACAAATTTACAGACTATTACCGTTCTGACAATTCATTAAGGCGGGCAATTCGTCGTGTATCAAAGATTGCTTGCAGTCCATTTGGATTTTCGGCTATCTGTAACAAAAAATCGATTGGTTGTTTCGCGATTTGTGTTTAACTATAACTATAACTGTTCCCAAGCATCAAAAAGGTTCACGTTACCTTTACAACGAAATCTGCAGCCCTTGTCGATGTCGGTATATCCTCATTGCCGATGACTTTAATGGCCGAATCATACAGTGGTGAATTGACCTTTATAGCAAAATTAATTCTTTAGTTAAATATGCAAAGAACACGTTACATAAAAAATCGTCAACAAGACAGTTGAGATTTCCATCATGGTTGACTTACTAGATCAATTATGTATTCTTCATTTGCGAGACATTTTTCAATCTGACCTAGAGTGAGAAGGCAAACCTTTGGTAATGGACTCGATAGTCCGAGTCGAAAATAATCCTACAAATCAAATCAATCTTTACAATTTTAAAAAAAGCAACTCGTAAAAAAAAAAGAAAAAAGATCGAACCCAAATATCGTGTAACCTTTAATTCTGAAGAAATAATATCAGCATAGGTAACGGCTCTTAATAGCTTCTCCAATACAATTCCAGCCGCATTTACAACAGATTCGCTCGGACTCTCGAGAAAAGTAAAAAAGTTTGGCAGTGGAACTGCAGATAATACTGCTTGAGTCACTTGTGGGCCTCGTGGACCTGGGAGGTAAGATTTAAGAGACAGTCAAGCGTATTATCAGTATGTTCGGCAAGTCTCAACGACGCACCAAGATTCATTCTCGCATTACAAACCATCAAGAGCAACGCTTAATACGCCTAAAACCTCGGTAATCTCTTCAGGACTCTTTGTGCTCGATTGCAAAAGTGCATCTATTAAACCATCAGTCTCGGAGTTTAGTGATGACATTGTTTGTCGGTTTCCACACACGTAAATCTGATGATGGAATGTTTACAACATCTAGCAGAGGGATCGACTGTACTAGGTGATAACAGATCATCTGATCGAATGTGCGTGTAGTAGTGAATTATCAATAACACAATCTTACTAAATAAGTATTTTTTCATCAATGTGGTTCCTTGACAAATCAGGTCAGACCTTTAGTGAGAGAAACCGCTTCCTATGCTTTCGGTTTTACTCGTTAGAATTGTTTGATGGATCTTCTATTCGTTTCGTGTGATTAGCAGAGCTAGTAGAAATAATTATAGAACTTGCTCACGCACAATTAGAACATAGTTTTTTTTTCTATCCGGACTTTATCCGACTGTTGATGATGTCAGAAATTTGAGCAGACTTGCATCTCGATTTATAAGGTTTCTACATCGTGCGCTAATTTAATGAGTTCCGATGTATCTGCTAATTACAATTTGCAACCCTCACAACTGTTTTACGTGTGACCAATAAAGGACTCGAAAACTCACAACTGTTTTACGCACCAAATGTTTCGCGTACAAATCGAGTTTGCACCATAGATCTCTAAATAAAGTGTAATCTGTGAATAAACTTGTTAGCCTGAATATTGGAGATTTTGCTCGAATTCTCCAATTTTGCCTTAACTTGCTTTAATCCTTTTTATTCAATTGCCAATCGGAGATTTTTTAATCGATGAACTGAAATTAAGGGGGATCAACATTTTTTGACATTTTAATTTTGTGTTTGGACAAATTTTTCTTTTTGTATGGCGACAGAAAACCAAGCCGACACGTTAGGTAAAAAACTGACAATGTTTTGGCCGATTTTTTTTATTTACTAATCAGTTCATACATTGTCTCGTTCTCTCCTGCCCTTCGCTGTCCCCCCCCCCCCCCAATTACCCAGATCCTTTCCCTGCTCTTGACACCTCAAGCACTCTCTTTGGTACTCTGCAGACATCTAAAGCTTACAATCCTCTCGGGTCCCCTTCGTCTCCACTTTCCACGTCTCCCTTCACCGCCTTTCAAATATCTCCCACAGATATACTAAACACGATAACAGAAAGAAAACCATGTCCCACATGTAATAGATTCGTAAAGTATTTCTGTCATGATTGCTTTGTCGTGGATGAAGCATGTGAGAATGTGATGCCCAAGTTGGAATTACCTATTGGCATTGATGTGTAAGTTTTCGTTGGAGAGAGGGCATCGAAAAAGATAATTAATGTGACAGTCCGACTAATGTGACAGCAGAGGTGAGACTTGGCACGACTCTTTTTGGTTGTACGCCTATAATTCACTTTTCTCAACACTCTATCCCCCCCTGATTTCTTTTCTACTCTGTCTGTTTATTAGTATAAAACATCCGGGAGAACGTTCAGGAAAATCGACGGCAATCCACGCGCGTTTAATCTCTCCAACCTCCGTCTCCATCTACCCCAGCACCTCGATTCCCACGTACTCTGATCCTTCTCGCATACTGCTTCTATATCCTGCACCCGATGCCCAAACACTCGATACAATACCTCTCGACTCTTTTGACAAACTTCTCGTAATAGATGGTACCTGGAAACAAGCCATAAGCATCTTGAAATACACGACAGTCTTGTCTTCTTTTCGTAAAGTCACATTACATCCGCGCAAGACTATGTTTTGGCGATATCAAGATCGGAGCGAGAATTATCTCGCGACTATAGAAGCTATTTATTATTTTCTTGTTGATTACTGTGAAAAAGGTAAAGGTGGATACGAAGGTGAATTTGATAATTTGTTATGGTGGTATAAGTACTTTTATGAACTTATTCAAGGAGTGTATAGGGGCAACCCAGAGGGAAAGCAATTTAATAGTAAACATAGGAAAGATTATATTATGTATGAGTAAAAGAGAGAACAGCGTGGGAAGATAATAAAATTACGCTATATAGCGGTCCGTGGAGAGGATCGCAATATTAAGGGATAGGCTTGTGGTGATGGTGAACATGATGATGACCGAATGGTTACTATGTTGAAAATATTAATGGATTTGGCAATCCTGATCTTTCTGTGCTGGATCAGTGAGTTGTTAAAACCAGGCATCTAAAATCGAACATACAGGCGATAGACCACTTTCACCAATTGCTTACCAACTTTACACGATGAGAAAAAACGAACAATATTTTTTATCAAAAAACGTCATTGGCAAACCGTTTAAAACATTGAAAAAGGTTCACACCACATATGTAAGACTTTTCGCTTAGCGACTACCTTTTATACAGTTAGATAAAAATCTGTTTATCACTGGATTGTAAAATATTACCATAAACACATTAGTAGAATTGTCTGTTAGGTAAACTTCTACGCGTATTTTGATTGGCCGAAATGCTTCAATACAAAATATTAACTTTTAGCAATGTTAACATTAATACAGGTATTGTTATAGTTTTGGTAAGGGTAGTTTTTATTTGAAAAACGATGTCTGCTTTGGTTTGATGCCTTCCTTAGTTTGATATCTTCTTTAGTTTTCTTCAATCTCGATACCATTCCATAAATTTGTTTGCTTACCAATTTTATTTCTCGTTCGATAAAGAGTTGTAACAAGGTTTACGTGATCTAACTTCAAAAATAAACCATTACAATCAAGCTGTCGAAAAAGGCCTTAGTACAAACAATAGAAATTAACAAGATGCACGCGTTATTTGTCAAGAGTTTGGGTAACTTTATTATAAATTAACGCTTCCTGAGGCTACCCCAGAAGTAATTACTTGCAAGTAGGAATTATCTTAGTCTTACGCATGATAGTCTGACCATCACGTTCATCCATTTCATTCTCAAGATGAACTGATTGACCGACACAAGTAATAACTATCGGACATAACAACGACTTTGTTACTCAAAGTCTCTTGCCCACTCCATAAGAATTTAGGGTGGCGTTCTTAACATCAAATAAGCATGTCAGTTGGTCACGATAAATGCATTACTACATATAAATAATGACTGTCGAGGAAACGATTGTCGGGAGAGTGACCCAGACCCGGAATTTTACACTTACTACAGTAACCAAAATTTTAAGCATACATACATATTCTTAGTCGATTAATCTGTGAAAATTTATAACAAACAGGACCTGTTTACAATTGTAACAGAAAATAATATTTTCACAGCAAAATATCCCACATTGAAAGCCATACAAATATTTACTACATGTAGCCACATGATCTCGAGTCCAATCGGTTGTCGTCTGACTATTTGGTGGATCATACAACACGTATGTGAAATTCAGGGACTGCGCATTGGACACTGCACTTAAATATGCGGTTAATATATTATGCGTATTGTCCGTTTCGTTAGCCCATATGTAAACAAATCGTGATTTTTTATTTTTCCTATTTGTCACCTTGAAACAATTTCCACCGAGTTCAACATGTAATGTGAATCGAAGAGTGTATAGTAAAGGCAGATCGTTCTTTCAGATCGTCCTTTTCCAGATCACTTTCAAACAATCACTCTCTTGGACGGAATCACCGTGGGAAGTTTGCATGCTGACAACAAAGCGAAGGAATACGAACATTGTTGAAAAGTGAGAGCTTTCGGGTGGGGGTGGGGCGGGAGCGAATTGGGGTAAATATATAGGCTTGTATACGCCCGATTAGGTTATGTACCGTTTTCGATTCACTGCGGATGTGCTATAAATAAGTCCAGTGAGAATTATGGGATATATCGGGTCCCGCAATACTAATACTGACAACGTGGTGATTGCACCTTTCGTCTATATAGATCGATCAATGTCTTTATTCGATCAATGTCTTTATTATTCGTTATTGTCTATAATCCTAAAGATCAAACATGCAAGCATACATGATAAAAACGATAACGTCAGCAATCAATTGAACGTTTACCATACACAATATACAGTATAAACGCACTTGTACGTCGGTGAATCTATTCGCCGACTATGAAGACAGCCATTAGAATAAAATAAATATTTTCAAAGGATCTTTGTATAAACAAGTAGATTGATAAAATTATATAATTGCCAAAGTTGCAGATCACAGGTGAAAACAAACAAATTTGGCTTTATTTATTTATTATGCATACAACCACCTTTGTGAGACTTGCCAACTTTTGAATTGGATAAACATTGTCGGATGAGAAATAAGGGTTAAAGGATGAGATTTAAAAGCTAATCGTTCAAGCGAATTTAGATTTCCTCATTTACGGATTAGTTACTCCATTGAAAGGGGGACTTTGAAAATAAACCGTTTATTAAAGGGGACGGTTAATGTAAAATTTCGACCCCCCCAGGAAACGTAAATATCTTCACGTTGCACAAAACAAAGGCCTTATTATGTGTACTGTAAATATACGTTGACTCGGCGCATACGATACACATACGAGTATTACTATTGGTCGTTTCAATAACTCAACCCATACTATATATATCTTTTTTTTTTTATTCGTTGTACGTACTGTATTGGCCATTGTTATACTGCATTAAGATACGCAGTTTGGCAGTACAGGACAAGATAGCGGGGGTGGGGGTGGGTCGTATACCCGTCACAAAATGTGGTTTCCATGTTGCGAAACTTTTATATACGATATACCAGGAAAGATATTTATACTTTTTAGTTTTCTTGTCATTCATGGTTAATGTATATGCTGAGCTCGACATGTGATTGAAGATGTGTTGATTTGTTCGGCTGGCTATAAGGACTGCCTATTTGGTATCCGTTTGCTTGTTGTTTGGCTTTGATAGATACCGTTTTGAATCTTATTTACGTCATTGTTGTAACCTTGTTTTTAAACAAGCGCACGGGACGGTAATGCCTCTGCCCATCAACAAGATTCTCATTTGCATGTTCTGGAATTGTTTAAGTGATCTTCACGTTGTATCACCGCAATAGGAAAGCTTCTTTCTGTGTAACTACAATTAAACACCACGTACGCCAATGGCAACATTTGCATTAATTAGATGGCGCCGTTAACGCGACTAACAAAAGATCACACATAATACACATATTCATTATTGTTGTCACAAATATAATAATTAAATAGAACAATCTATCGGGTCTAGATTCGTCAATTAATTAATGTAATCCGTATAGAGGTATGTACATGTCCAATATCGATGTGCTGTATGATTTTCGAGTTTTTTCTTGTTGGATTGAAATCGTATCGTTCGAGACGGCCAATAACAATAACGCAATTTGTGGAAAGCAATCTTTTTCATCACACCCTCCCCAATTCAACCCCGACTATTTACTGTCCGCAATCATCCCACTATTAGTTAAGACGCCCAATTAACTTATGACTTTCCCACCCGTTTCATAATTCGTCTTGTTTCCGAAAAGCTATACTTTATACAATATGAATATGAATGCATCATCAACCACTTGTACTACAACATTTCCGACAGTTAAAAAGCGAGATGACATCATATCCTTCAATTAAGGAATGGAGCAGTTATTTATGTAAAACCTTTGATACATAAAATCCTATATAATTCAGTATAGACCAGTATAGTTCAATGCTAGTTTACATGTGCCAACCCCACAATGGTACGACAAGCATGTCAAAGATCAAGTACAATCTAAACAAAATATTACCCAGACCAAACAACTAGGAGTGATATATAAGCCAGTATCGTTGCATATAAACACACCTCTCCAAGAGAATTCGCCGCGGTTTCACTGCGTGCTACTCAAGCCTCTTCACTAGTAAAATCCCACCTTCCTCCCACTTCATCTATTCTATCCCTTCATATTCACACACACACAAACCCGGTCAACAGATTGCATCATCCACAAACATCACTCCCTTATTTGTTGTAAATATTGCAAAAGATGCCTCTTTCTGATACATCTGCCTTGACCACTCCAAGCACCTCGGAAATTGACACCCCATCGAGCATAATGGCTTTCTCCACAGAGGAATTCAGTTTACTACTCGCTCTCGGAAATTGCTATGACGGCAATCAAAACGAGGTCGACTTTGACCGTAAGTAGAAAAAACACATCATTTCCATTATCACGACTCGCACAAATTTCCCGTTATACGCATAAAACACCCCCGAGATACAGTCTCTTCAATTGACATTAAAATAATATTACTAGGGAAAAAACACAAGACTCCCAAAACACACCAGTCTAACCCAACATTTTATATTGACCACTCACAGTTATGCAAGCAGCGTCTCCTACCGTCGTTCATGATCCTGCCTCCCCATGTATCGAAGGCATTTTCACCGACGTAAACAACATTTACGTTGGCTCAACTAACAACAACACTGCCGCAACCGCAACCGCCACCGCAACCGCAACCACTACCACTACAACTACCACTACAACCACCACAGAAATCAATCCCGAAACGGGAACCCTCATCAACATGAACAGTGATGTTGCGCCAGACATTACGAATTTCGATGTCTACATGAACAATGATCTCCAATTCGCTATAGTCAATGAGAGCCCTTCTAGCAATAATAGCTCGAATCCCACCGCCGCCAACACATCATACGACCTCTTAACGACCTTCCAAGGTCCATTCACTACCACAGAAGGTAGTTTCAACACCTTCTCTACTGATTGTCGAGCTGGCATCAACAACTATTCAACCACATTCAACGAAAACTGTGATGCGGGATTTGTCGCAGGCGTTAAAAATTACAATCGAAGAGGCAGTAAGGACATTGATATCATCATTAACGGTAGCCGTGATTTGAATATTAACGATAGCAGTGCAGCAAATACCGTTGCACAAGGAGCCAATCATGATGACAATAAGAACGACTACAGAAACAATTATGAAAATAACACCACTTCCACAACCACCAACAATAATAAGAAGAAAAAAAACGAAAAAGAAAATAAAGACATGGACGATAGCGACACAAATTATGGCACCGATGATAGTAACAATAATGTTTGTCAAGCTAGATGTAATGGAAACCGGAAACATAATGATCGTGTGGAGGAACCGAATGACAGAAACGAGCAAATACGGACCCAAAAAACATTAACGGCTGAAGCACCGTCGCCGAGTCGGATTTCTCGTAAAAGAAAAGCGGCAGAAGAGCTAGAGATAACGCAGGATGAAAAAAGAGCGAAATTTTTGGAAAGAAATAGGCAGGCCGGTACGTGTATATATAAATTTTTCGGAATAATTTTTCTTGTAAAAAAAAATCTACTTTGATCGTATTCTTACGACTTAGGTCATTTAATTAAGCTCTCAAATGTAGACAAAAGAAAAAGGAATTCACGACCAACTTAAAGAAACACGTGGAAGATCTTGAGGCCGAAAAAACAATCCTTACGAATTCGGTAAATCACTTGCGTGAACAAGTCTTGTATTTGAAATCGCTAATGATCTGCCATGGTGGCTGTGACTGCGGAATAATCCCTGAATATTTACAGACTTACGGAATTCAGATGCCTGCAACTATAATTCAGTCGCAGCAACAACCGCCACAACCGTCACAATCACGACCGCCACATCAACAACCAGCCCAACAGCAGCACAGTCAATATCCAGCGTCGACAAGTAACTTTCTTGCTTGATTGTTTGGCTGTTTGTCAGCTGTTTGTCAGCTGTTTGTTGGTTGTTTTCCTTGCCATTTATTTGCATGTATGTGGCGTTACTTGCAATCCTCTACGATTAGTATATTGCAAAAAAAAAAAATCGGTATATTTTCTCAATGATGTATAAGCAATAATAGTTCAGTACCTTGTGCTTATTTTTCATTTTTACACGAGCTTTGTATTATTTCTTGTATATAATTTTTTTTTCGCTTCTGTAGTAAACTAGATTTGCCCAAGGTATGTAAAAAAAATTAATATGTATTTCCAGTAATTGAAAGTAATAAATTTGCCTCATGAGGATGAAGTTATATTATTAGACGAATTGTGTGTATTCGGAGTTTTTTTGAAAGGGGGAAAGAATTGATCTTCGTTCTATGAATATCGATTTATTATTATAGTTTAGAGTTTGTGTAGTGTTGTAACATGCAAGGGGTCGATCATTCGATCATGATTTAAAGTTCGACCTTTATTCCGCTATAAACGAGTTTGGCCAACCCTAAACTATTCTATTTGCATCATTGAATCGGAAATTATGAGCGTAAAAGTCTAGAATATGCAGAATGATATATTTTGTATACGTCACAAGTATCTAAAACGGCCTGATGTGTAATACATGCTTATACCGTACCGTCTATTATAGAGCTACGGTCGGATAGTCTGGGGTTTGGGAGAGCGATTAATCTTTCGCGTAGGGGTGTTCTTCCGACAGAGGATCTTGCCGGATTTGGCTTCGTGCTACCGCCCTTGTTACGGTAGTTGTTCAATTCTAAATCTACAAGTGATCTAATTTAATAATTAAAATGCGCGCTTCCTCCCTATACAAATAAAGGTATCCACGATAGAACAACAACAACAATTATTCTGCCGCAGAATCGAAGGGGGAATAAAATTTTATTTAATAATTGTGGGGGCTGAAGCTGAAACAGGCCATCTGTTCCGACGTCGGGTATCTGTCACTTGTCTCTAATATAACTAATTAGACAATAATCGTTTTCAATAATTAATTACAAGTTTTCTTTCTCCGATCTGGAGTAATCGATCAGCGGACAACTTGTACGGCCTGGTAGAGCCGTTTATTAGCGTCTGGTCAAATAATTAATATCTCAGCGATGAAAGGGGGAATCGTTTATTTGATTATTATTTCCGTGGAATGGCACTATTATTATAACAACAACATTGACAACATGAGAATTTGACGATGGGGTAAGAGTCGCTTATATACCTTTAGCATCGCCCAAAATGCGAAACGGAGTTGGACTGCGGAGGATTTTACCATGTGATTCGCTTATCCGATTCATTAGAATGCGAATTTTAATACAAAGATGATCTTGTGACGTGGAACAATGTATAGATACAGGGCTGTTGGGCATAAGAAAGCTACCGTCAAACATAATCGCAAATGCAGTTTTTAACACATCCGTAGTCTTCTCGCTTTAATGCCTTCTTTGACAATTATATAAATGTAGGAAGCTTAAATTTAGTATAGTTGATTTGGGGCAAAACCAGACATTGTGAGCTAAAAATGGCTGGTGTGGCTGAAGATCAACTAAGTGACTGATAGCCTATACAGCTTTGGCTTATGTATGGACTAATTTTTTATAATTACAATGTATTCCATATTAACATAGGCCTATTCCTATTAATATAAAAATGAATTAATTTGCATCAAATCCACCATGTACCCCAAAAATTGCAGCACCATTAGAAGCATTTTAAAGAAAGCTCAAGGAGAAAAATTGCTCCATATGTTTTTAAAATCAGTGATACCAAAATACTTGAGGAATATCTAGATAATAATATATACCAATTTTTACAATTGGCTTCTTTTCTCTTAGAACTGTCAAACTCACATTTTAATTGACAAGCCCACTACAAAATGAAGAAATCAAAAAGAAACAACATTAGTCTGGTTTCTATGTTGTATTTTGATCAAACTTGATGTGTTCTCAATTTGATTTATGTTTGGTATTAAAATTACTTACATAGAAAAAAAAAAAAATACTTGGTGGACATGAATAAGACAATTGTGCTATTCTCAATTTCGAATAGTCACAGAAGTGGTCTGCTTCGCCAAATTAAAGACAAGCATTTCTTATTTATACCGGAAATATGTAAAATTTTAAATGTATTTATTCATTTAATTTAATTATAAAGGGACAAAAATCCCCCTTATCAAAATATTATCGTTGTATTCCTTTTTATCGATATGTGTTGCTGTGTCGAAAATCGGTATCGGCATTACCGTTTCAACATTACCACCGCGAATCTATCGAGTATTGCTATTTTTAAGCCACTCTTCGTCATTATAGATATATGATCGAGGGATACCCTTTTCCTCATACATTCGAAGTATAATTTCTTCACTTATTAGCCTTTCTAGCCCCGTATATCCATTAATTCTTCGAATCAAGGTTTGAATTTTGCGCAAAGTCAGTTTATTCTACAGGTTATTGCATATAGAAATAGTAGTACTGGTACGTCCCAATTGAAAGTTCAAAAACTTGGGAGTCGTAAAAATTTACAAGATCAGTTACTGTAACCTTTTTCTAAGGGTAAATTGGCCCGCCCGCTAATTTGTTTACTCGTAATAAATCGCGAATACATTGCACGCACTGTAAAAATCATGTCCCAATACGCGATCTTACCTACTTTACTCTTGAACGCGACTGGTCATTGTTGGATTTCTTACTCTATCGACAACACGCAGATTTTCTGGCTGATAAGTGTAGTAAACACAAGAGCGGTATGTCCATAACCTGTCAACGATAATAGATTGTGACAATTTACCTGAAGAAGTGATTGAACGAGCTAGCATGGAATTTGCTTCAGTACAAGTTAAGTTGTTGTGTTGACAGTGGATAGGTCAGAAGAGTAGTAGTTTATTCTGATGGGGTCTCTGAGTATTACTCAAACGCCGTAGCTACTTAACAAGTCCTTAATTTCTCGCAAGTTAGAACCATTTATTCAATGTCAAAATATCTACCCAAGAAACGAAACGAGCCACAGTTATTGATGCACCTCGTAAAGAACAGTCATTTATTATAAGCATATTAGATTTAGCATATATCTATTGAAATTAAAACATCAACCTCATTGCGATGCGAAAGTAAAGCTATACTATTTTTCTTCATCATCATCACCATCATCGCTTTCCTCACGGCGAGAAAGTCTTATTCTGTCACAGTAATTCTTGACTCTATGTTTCAAAACAAGCCAATTCCTACTATTCAAATTCCTAAAGTAAACATAGTCTATCTCAATATCGAATATAGCCCGTTTTATTTTTTGTTGCCATTCCGTGTCAATTCGTCCACCTTCGTGATTCTTAGACATAATAGCGACGACATGCCTGACCAATTCGTAGTAAATACGACAAGCTTTCTGAAAGTGGAGGAGATGTTTAGCCCATTGTTCATTATTTCCTTCGTCGCGTTTTACGCAATAACCTGCTTGAAATCTATAAATATTTATGTAAAAATAATCCTCTGAGTTTTGTTGTTTGCATCGTTTAAATAAATCATATACACGATTTCTCCAACCATCCTCTGCAAAATTCGGATGACGAATCAACTTATTATGTGATGGTTCTTTCATGACTTTCACCATCTCTTTTGTATATTGTATGATATGATTCACGGCATCCACTTGAGTTCTGTTTTGCGCCGGTAGCCAAAAGCTATTCAATTCAATATTTTCATAGTGATCTATCGCTTCTTGTTCTTCTTCTTCTTCCCCACACATTCTACTATGGATCTGTTCGACTTTACTATTCATATCGTTATACATCCTATGCAGTTTGAGAAGAGCTTCGTTATTATTTGGGGCATCTGTGTGCTGAGCTTGGTATTCGGATTTAACATAGAAAACAGAAACCCTTTCAGGTTCTATCGTTATATAGTCAATCTTGTCATCTCTGTTCTTTCTATTATGTTTAATGATGTGGTTGCGGATTACTGATGTGGCAGATGTTATTTGTTCACTGATCTCAAGTGACATTTTGGTTTCGAGTAAAAGGAAGAGCTTTTCAAGGAAGGAAGACTTTATAAATCAGCGGGACACGTCGCGTGCACGTTTAGCGCGCGCCGTTGTGTTATAACTAAATTGTTGTTATTGTTGTTATTATTACTATTATTTAGTAAATAAACCAACTTCTAAAAGTCTTCTTCCAAATTCGGAATGTTGGTAACTCATCATTATCTACGTGTTTGCTAATAACGATACTAATACGAATTAACGAGAAACCCATGATTACATATAACATAGTACAAGTCATTAGCCCACGCGTTCGTCTCGTTGTCTGAATCATGCTGCTCACGTGTTGACATGTTATCTTCATTGGCAGAGGACCGTATTATAGACATCACGTTTTCGTTTCTTTTGACTTTGATATCTAATTCTATATTTAGAACTGTCTGAACACTAGCGGAGTAGGAGCATTAAGTATATTGCAACTTTGTTTGATACTCATCGTCGCAAGGGACAATCAGTAAACATTGCTTATTCAGCCAATGTCTACTGTTGATGAAAACCTCTACTAAAGACATTCCCGAATCCTTGTAATAACAGAAGAAAAGGTTACTCAGTAAGAGATAGAAATAAACAACCAGATGCCGAAGTAGGGATAGAAGAACAGCTTTTGGCGCCGAAGAACGCATGAAAGTTTCATAAAAGATTTCTTTTACACGATGGAATTAATATTACACGATTTGCCTTGGTGGTGTGCTCCGAACGAACCAACGTTAAGATCCCTACTTCAACATAAATCAGAGCAAGATTCTAGTAGATTCTACCTGTTTTACCGACTGCTTCGGAGCACTGCATTTTTGCTATTACTTTGTACCAAGATAATTTATTTTGGCCTCAAATATTTATTCCACAATATATTATATATTATTACAGTAACGATCACAACGTTCAATTCTAAGCAGTGGATTTCCAACATCCGATCGTCTGGTAGACAGCAGCGAGAGTACCAAAGAATCCTACACCCACGTCAGGAAATGAGGAATTTTCGAGAGACCAATGTATCTAATGGAGATAATTTACAAGTATATGAAGAAATATACCAAAAAAAGAAAAAAGCAATATGCTAAACCCTCGGGGATAAGATAGCGATACATGTATTGATAATGCTACTTACGGTCAATGGTAGATAACCGACGTTAATTAGAGTAGATCTAACGATCTGTTCCTTTTCTGTTTGGACTGCCTTGTGTTCCCTCAAAATGTCTGCTTCTTGGGCATCTACTTTCTTGACAATACCTCTCTCTTTCTTCTTCAATAACTGCCACTGTTGGAGCAATGCCCAGAATTCCAAAAAGACGTAAGCAGCCCAAAAGCGACAGCTCCAAATACCTATTCTGTTCATTTTAGATTCTGCGATGTCGATGACTTTGTGATATGCTAGCCACCAGATATGTTCCAATGGATAATAGAGAATCATTGTGAGGTTCTGTAAGCGATTGATAAACAGTAAGGTTGTGGATGGTGGAGGATGATGTTCAATGTGTATCATCCATTGAACGAGCGGCAACAATCCATAAAATCTATGGTGGAAATAGTGGAAAAAACGAATGATACATGAGCAGAGTACTATCGGCGAACGACTTTTGCTTTGCGCGGCTTCATACCTAAGTAATATTCTGAAATCAGCAACAGGGTTAGCAAAGTTGGAAACTCTCTCTGCAAGTTTATTCTTGCCAAGTCGAATGAGAAACCATATGACTATCTTTGAATAATATTGGATAAACTTTAAAGAACAAACATAACGTTAGTCAAGTATATGAAAATGAAAAGACTTTGAAAGCGGCTCGCTGGCTATTTTCTGAGAAACATGGTGGACAAGCACACCTTCCTCAGAATTGGTTAACCAACCATTAACACTTTATCGGTGCCTGGTACTGAATTTAGGAAGCTCACAATACGGTCGAGCTTGGGGCTCGGCTGCAGTAAAGCAGCAAGTGCGAGCGGGTTGACTGCATTGAATGATTTGGAGAGGTTCGCCATTATCGTAGAGACGAGAGATTAGATAGCGGGAAGCGCCTGTCATGTTCATGTGAACTTTGGACAGATTGTGTGACAGACATGCCAGAAATTAACCATAATAATAATAAATATTTACAGTGGGCTAGAATGCATCGATGCCAAATTATCTTGGTTCTTTCCCAAGAATATAGTACGAGCATTCTTTTCAAATACTTGGGCACACTTTTGAGCACCGAACACTAAGAAGATCTACGTCGCCCGGTATGTGATCATACTGCCAATCGAAATTTGCCTGGTCAGTGCTGGTGGTATTATTTCCATTTCGTGTTAACGCGACGATTAATTGTAAGAGCAAATGTAATGTATGTAATTGTATGTGGCAATTCGTTGATGGCATACTTACGACTATATAATTATCGACAGAACTGAATGAAGGTTCTCGTTACGATTCGCTTGCCTCTATTGCTTATTAACAGTAGAATTTATGATCAGTGCAACAGAAAAGGAAAACCCATCACAATGATAGTTTATATGAAAAATTATGTGGATATGAAGGCAGTGGACGATATAACCCAACAGGAGAGAGATATTGTGCTGGTATTTTATGCATATAATTTAAATGTCGCTAGAGATTTATGGCCAAGACGATGTAGCAAACGGCTTTCTTCCCTTGAGATTAAGAGGTACCCGTGAAGAGCTATGAAAAGATCTCTGTCTCAAATTCACCAATTGGAGAACGTTTAAACGAATTGTTTCACCGAGAGTAATAGTAAGCAATTATCAACTAATGCTGCAAATGCTGGATTGTTCCGTACCTCCTTCTAATGAATGGCTTACTATCATATCTTCTTTGCCTTTACGGATGTATTACGTCCTTATGGGAGGTTTCGTGCAGTTAAATAATAAACAACTGCATTGTTCGACTCGCATCTCTTCATTAGTAAACAAAACAAAAGGCAAATAATAGCGTTCAATTGACTAGCCAAGATCGAGGAAGTTACTAATCCCACGTTAAATCGATTTATTATTATTCCTTATTATTATAATTTTGTCACATGATCGCAGGTACCATGCGCTAAATAATAAGAGCATACACAACGTTTATTATTATTTGTTTTGCATCAGATAGTATAAATGAAGTATTCAATATTATGTTTAAATATTGCGGCTCTTATTCCTTAGTTACGTGTATAGTTAACACTCATATCTTTGTCAAACAAATAATTGTCCCTGTCTGGTCTGATCCAATCTACAGCTAGATGCTACTCTACTTCCGTAAGCTGGTATATCCGGCTTATTTCAGCCCCTACACTTCGTTTAGCAACAAGAAGAGTAGAGTTATACTTAGAAAACAATTAATAAATGCCCTTAGTCGAAGAATATATAAATTAAAAGAAGAGGTTAGTTTCGACGTGTATTTTTAAGGAATTCCTTATAATTTTAGTAACCTCATCGTTTACATTCTTAAACCAACTCGTTTAATTGATTTCACTGCTTCTTGTAATACGGCAAATTATACAATACACACCGATGGAATGTAGCTGTAATGTTACGCACTCTGAATATCTTAAAGGGGTTGACCCATTTTTGATTTTGGATAATCTACGAAAATTTTTTACACACGCTAAGTATAAGATATTTTATAGACTATACCAGATATGTATAAATTAATGATGCGGGAAGTTATATTATCGAAAAGCATCTTTTCAATAGACAGGCGCATGTGATTTTGACGCTTAATCTCTCGCTACTGTTTATGCATATGATTAGCTCAGCATTCATCAGACAGAGTTCCAAGGCCATTCATTTCAAAAAGTCGTATGATGATACAGTTGTGATAATATCTGTTCTGACCCAATTCCGAATCTTGAAATGGGTCAACCCACTTCAGAGTGTGATCAATTAGATTATTATTATTATATCAATGGTAATAATAAACACACGAATTTTATTTATGAATAGCAAATACGAATAATAAAGAAAGAAATTAATGTTTATAATTAGTTGACGCAGTCGGTATTTGCTGGATACACATTGTTTATTCAATCTCTGACGTCTGATATTGCGTCAACGTGTGCAAATGCTACATGCAACAACCAATTTCTTCTGGTAATGTAACTGTAATGAGTGTTTGAGTTCTTCAAATGACAGCGTGTTGTAATCTTGATGTATGGAACGTATTACAATTACAATGTAACAAAACTTTCAATTTGCTAATATGCATTATACTGAACGATTTTTTGAGTCAGAATGACTTATGCGACAATCGGATGACATATTGGGAATTCTCCATCAATTCATCAAATTTGGCATGAGATATAATGATCATTTTAGTATGTCAATCTTGACGGGGTTACATATGACTTTATTTATATAGAACATATCGGCAATGCAGCAACCTTAATATTCATGAATCTATGTCATTGTTTGATACGATTTTCCAGAACCCTATTTCTTTAAAGCCTAACTGTTTTGATCGTCATACTATTTCAAAACTCGATTATTCAATCGTTCTATTCTTTGTGATTGCCTGAATTAAAATCCTTTTTTGTTAAAAGCCCACATAATACGATTTTCTAAATAGCTACGCGCAACAAACCTGAAGATCATAACTGCACGTAAATCAGATGATCTGAACAGACTAGTAGATATAATGAATCGTATGATAATCAAAGCAATTATGACTTTTAACAAAAAAGGATCGTAAGGCAAGGTTGTTTTTTTGAACGATTTATGCTTTCAAAAAGAAATAAGCTGGAACCAATGCCAATGATATAGATGAACATCAAACATTGCAATTCGGTTCGCTGAACTTTTATTATCACAAATAAAGTCTCAACTCTCTTTCATTCAACACCGTCAAGATTGACATACTAAAACAAACATGTCTAACAATCATCTTAACTTTATGTCTCATGCCAATTACTTGAATAATATGTCATCCGATTGCCATACTGACTCAAGAAATCGTAAACAGGCAGATTGAAATTCTTAACGGTTCGGAGACAAGT